AATTTTGCAAAAGAAATTATCAACTATTTATTTACTATTAAAATGTCTAGATACTAAAAAAAGTTATAATTTTTTAAACTTTGTAAAAGGTTACGCGCATTGCTCTCTCTCTGTCTTGTCATTCAAAGCGGCATGCGCGCAACACCTTTGGGATTCTGCCTTTGGGTATTGTGAACGAAATACCCCTAAATCATGAAAAGACGACATCTACTGTTTTATCTGTTTTGTTATTAATCTATGGATGTCCGTCTCTAGTTTAGTATAAACGCTATTAAATAAAAAGAAAAAGGTTTATTTATGTTTATTTTATCGACAGCTGATCCATTAGTGAGACATAACTTTACTTCAATGAGGGGAGGAAGGTCAGCATCAACAATTTCAAGTCCGAGCCACATTCTCCTCATTTTCTCGTCCGAGCCACCTCGAAATCCTCGTTCTTCCAATATTTTTTTAAGTGTGTAATCCTCCAAGATAAAACTATTTTTTAAAGGGAGTGACCGGCTATGTAAGGTAATTGAACTGAGGACGCAATGTTGTGGAAAACTTCTTTAGGATTCATTTGAGACATATTTCACTTTTTAAAAGTCTGTAAATCCTGAGTTTGAGCTCAAATTCGACGTTCAAAACTCCTGATTTGGGGGTGGATACGCTTTCAGAATTAGTTTTTTTTTTTTAAATTTTTAATTAACGACGACATAAAATGTAAAAATATTCTACAATAAACTACAGACGTCATGTTTAGGAACATTTTGAGAAAAAAAAATTAATGTTATCATCGAAAATAAGTACTCTTGTTCAATTATTAGTTTCTATTCTCTCATTATTCTAGTTTCTCGTTATTCACAAAGATGTTCGCAGATTTTCTATAATTATTATTGAAAAGATAATATGTCTCAAATGAATCCTAAAGAAGTTTTCGACAACACTGCATACTCAGTTCAATTACCTTACATAGCCGGTCACTCCCTTTAAGAAATAAATGAATAAATGAAATATTGAATTCTTTTTTAATTGAATTAAAGTTTTAGAGTGCAAAATGTCTTTGAAAATGTTCACCTTTTTTACCTGGTGTAGAATGCCACAAACAAATTCCGATTTTATAGAACTTTAAAATCTTTTTTAATAATTACAGTAAAAAACCATAGAATTTTTACGAGTGGTTCCATGGGTAAAATGATTGGTATAGGTATGCCACATATTTTGCCATTTATTTTTATATCGCGAAGGTAAGCCATTACGGATTGCTTTACCAATATTTTGTGCTCTAACGTGGCCAGATTTTAAATAAATTGTTTTATCTTCAAGAATTAGAAACTTTTAAACACATACAAATCAAAGGACGAGGATTTCGAGGTGGCTCGGACGAGAAAATGAGGAGAATGTGGCTCGGACTAGAAATGGTTGTGTCTGGCCTTCCTCCCCTCCTCAATTAAAGGATAAATAATTTTCTGGAACAAAATTATTTGGATGAAAATGTATTTTTGCATAAAAAAAAATCAAATGAAAAGGCTATTTTAGTTAAATTTTCCCTCTAGTTTTGTACTTAGCATACAAAGCATTATTTGCTATGGGAAGACATTAATCATACCAAAAAAAAAACATTGTCTTCAAAAATTTCTCAGAATCAATTTAGTTTTAGCCAACACAGTTAGTGTGAAAATAGGCGTAACTTTTTCAACGTAACTTCAACGATACCATTAAAAGCTTTCAATATAAAAAAGAAAGAAATATTCATGTTTTAAACTTTAAAAACTGACTATTTTTTGTGGTTTTACTTTTAAAACTATTCATTACATCGATCCATGCAATTGTAGATGCTGAAGAAACAATGGATGAAAGCTGTCAGAATTAAACACTTTTCCACATTTATTCAGAAAAAGGTTTTAACGGTATCGTTGTCAATCGGGTATGTCATGTTAAAAGAAAGGAAAACATAAAATAATCACACCAATACTTTAAAAGAAGAATGTATCCCCCCGGGCCCATGTCATTATAAAAGGGGGGGGGGAATTTGTTTTCCAGCAGTTTACTACCTCAAAAATGAATGCTCCAATGATACAGTATCCCACCACTAGGGAGAGAAGACCAATGTGGGAGAGCATAAAGGAGGCTCCCTGTCGGGTACACTGACAATACAATACATTGGTACTGGTAGGCGATTATATTAATATAATGAAGACGACTTTCGATTTAGCTTTTGATTGATATCAAGCTTTTAAAAAGCATGGATGCATAAACAAAAATGGAAACCAAGAGAACCGGCCAATTATAAGCTTCTCTTTATTTATTTGTAAACTTGTAATTCGAAAAAAAACCTTTTTAAGAATAAAAACTTAAATAAAAAAGTCTTCTTCATTATATTGATATTATCGCCTACCACCGTATAAATCAATTCCGGGGAAATTATTTCACAATTTAAAAAAAATAATCTTCTTAAATCAAATAATCTTAACCAAGAGCATTTTTTTCTTTATTTTTAACAATAATTTTGTTGGATTTTTAACATTTTGAAAATTTGTTTATTTTGGATTGATATGTCTACTTGTGTGAAGGGGTGGGCGCTTATAAACCACCTACTGGGATCCAAAATATTTATCGTAAACAAAAAAACAGCAAAATAGTTTAAATGTTATCCTTAAAAATTGATACTGTAAAGACGACCTAAAACTTTGTAAGCATGACGATCCCAAGATTAAATTAATTCTCCTGCCTTGATTAATATTCTTTTATTAGCTTATCAAATGATTTAGCAAAGAAAAATAAAGTTGCAGTTGCAGAACTACATGAAAACAAGGAAACAGACTGCAGTCTAAATTCCGTACAGTCGTCACCATGTCTCATCCCTGGGCTTGTTAGTGCTTATCAATATAGTAGCTGAAAGGCCCGGCGTTTCCCGTGGAAAAAAAATTAAGAAAAAAATTTGAGAATTTCTTTAGCCTATAACACGGGGGGTGTTCACCCATGAGTGTCCACAAAAAAATTCAGCCCAATCGGTCCAGCCGTTTGGCCGGCTATTCGCAACATATATACGAATGTCTTGTTTAATTATACAGATATACTTTGCATGTCTGTCCGTTTGTGTCCAATGAACGTCTGAACTCGGTTGTGTCCAAATTTTGTGTGGGACCTCACATGACCCCAGGGAAATATATGAATGCTCAAAATTACAAAATTTGTGTCCAAAAGTTTTTGATTTTTGTTAAAAGTTGAAAGAAAATATATTGATTTATTTTTTTTAAATGAAATCTTTACCTTCATACAACCTGTACATCTGGAGGAGGGCTGATCAACACTTGTTCCTTTAAAGTTTAACATGAGGACTTTACTTTGAATCATTTATTGTTTACTATAGTTCTAAAACTATCCTATAATACGTCATATATAGAATGTAAACATCTTGTTTACTAAATATTGTTTACGATAGTTCTATAACTATCCTCTAATACGTCATATATAGAATGTAAACAACTTGTTTACTAAACATTGTTTACTATAGTTCTACTAAACGTGTTTACTAAATATTTTTTACTATAGTTTTAAAACTATCCTCTAACACGTCATATATAGAATGTAAACATCTTGTTTACTAAATATTGTTTACTATAGTTCTATAACTGTCCTATAATACGTCATATATAGAATGCAAACAACTTGGTCACTAAATATTGTTTACTATAGTTCTGTAACTATCCTCTAATACGTCATATATAGAATGTAAACAACTTGTTTATTAAATATTGTTTACTATAGTTATAAAACTATCCTCTAATACGTCATATGTAGAATGTAAACAACTTGTTTACTAAATATTGTTTACTATAGTTCTATAACTATCCTCTAATACGTCATATATAGAATGTAAACAACTTGTTTACTAAACATTGTTTACTATAGTTCTACTGTCCTAATACGTCATATATAGAATGTAAACATCTTGTTTACTAAATATTGTTTACTTTAGTTCTATAACTGTCCTAATACGTCATATATAGAATGTAAACAACTTTTTACTAAATATTGTTTACTATAGTTCTATAACTATCCTAAAACGTTATATATAAAATGTAAACACAAACTGGTTGTTGTCATTTAACAGTGCATAAAAAGTACGAAACAGTTTTTTTCGTATAGATTCCGTACGGTCGTCAGGAAGTCTTATTCTCTTTGGAATGTGAGTGATCTTTTACCTGAGTGCTCTTCCATTGCTTGAACTATGAGCAGAGAATATACTCTATAATACGGTGAAATGTTAACATATCGTTATTCTTGGGAATACAATTAAATTAGATTATCTTAAAAATAAAAGAGTTTGAACAGTTTTATTCTTTTGTTAAAAGTTTTTTTCCTTTCTAACAAACGATTACTTTTATGGGTTATTTAAATCAATATTAACTTCTTGAGTGATCTTTATTAAAAGTGTACTCAACATATTTTGACCATGACAGTTTATAAATGCAACACTATAAGTTCAATTTGGTAGCAATTAGTTTTGTTACAGCTTAGAAGTTATTTTTATAACACATTTATGATTTTAAAAATGCTGCAGCTATATATAGCATTTCTTTGTTATCACTAAACTTTCACATTTCATTTTATATTATCCTTATTTCTCCCTTACACCACACCACTTCAACTTTAACTCTTGAAATACAATACGCATCCTTTAAGCATGTTTCTTTACCAAAAACCCATAATTTAAAATTAAAAAATGTTCAAAAAACTTCATATTTTTGTAAACGAGTTTTTATAAAATTACAGAGATGAATTGTAGAGAATAGATTGACCGGGGGCTAGATACAGCTTTCTATATTTCTGCCTCCTATATGCACACAGGTACAGATATTCTTATTTTTTCTTTATTATTCCTCGCGAAAATAGGAGGGGGGGGGGGGAA